TCTTAATTAAATTAGTGATAATAAAACCTATAAACTTTGCTAAAATTTAATATAAAAAAAAGTTTAAGTAATGTTTTCTTTCAAAATTAATCCAGAAGAAATAGCACTTCTTTTAAAATAATAGTCGGAATGTATGGTATTATTTGCAATTATCATTCAAACTTACTAATTATGCTTCAGTATTAGTGCTATCACCGAAAAATATAATGATTACAGTAATATAATTCTTACTGTAATTAGTAATTATCTTATTTTCTCCATCAGATTCATCAACGATCATTTATAATTTTAGCTTTGCCTCCACTTTTGAACTCTGCCTATTTTTGGCTGTGAATAACTAGCGTTTATTTTTTGCAAGCCGGAAAGCTTGAAAAGTGAATGCTCAATTTTTCATTTATTTATTTTTTCTATAAAGTTATTTGAAGACTAGCAGTTATACTGAGAAGCATTAAATACACTTCAATAAATTTACTAAAATAAAAACTAAAAATGGTTCTCTTATCTACTGGAACTTAGTTTTTAAATATCCAGTTTAATTGCTTTTACTGATTTTTCCTTCACTTCAAAATTTCGATAAAAATGCAATTTTGAACACTTTTCGCACAGTTAAAAAATATAAATGCCAGCATTGCATAATGTTTGCTGTGCTATTCACTATTTGTATTAACTTCTTTAGCGTTTTTTCCTCAAAATGTTAATACACTTATTCATATTTTGTTTTTTGATGATATGTGTTAAGTTGATAATTATTTCACTTAAATTAATTAAAGTGCACAATTTTTAGAATTATGTACTCGTTTCAGAGCAAGTAAAGAAATTGTTATTTCTTGAATGTCAGAAAAGTGATGATTGTTTTATGAATATACGAGATTATTAATTTCGGCAATGTGCAAAATTTTATAATTTTATGAATTTATAAAGGTTGCTACTAAGAAGTGATCGTCGTAAATATGCAATAACAAATGCTATTATTCTGCTGAATTTATGGCATACAGTCGTCAGAATATTAGTGCTCGAAGATAATCAATCTGAATTTTACATACGTGTAAAAGCATTTTACACGTAAATAAAGTTTTTCTTTTCAGTTTTAAGTAAGTATATGCATAAATCATTAAAGAGTCGATACTGAAGTGTAATTTGTGAACACAGAGGTGAGGAGTGTTGTTTTCATGAAAATTTACTGAAAATATGAATTGAACGAAAGCAGGCGGACGAAACTAGTTTTTCTCCGTCAAAACATTTTTGTTAGTCGAGAAAAAATGAGAATAAAAAAGTTTAGTTTATAGCCTAAGAGGCGGATGGATATTCTTGCGTATATTCAGAAGTAGTCCTTTTTAAAGCATTTGCATCTTGTAGCAACGATGCTTGAAAATATCCCTTTCACCTTGAAATTCACTTTATTTCTTTTCATAATTTTGTTATAATTATTGCACACAATAATTTTTAACATTTTTACTCTTTGCTTTGGTAATTTTATTCATAAAATATGCATATTTACTGACTAATTAAACTTTGTGCAACATTTACAAGCATATCATTTGCTATTAATTATTATCTCACATGCATTGTAATACTCTAACATTTTGCAATATTCTAATTTTATTGGCCATTTTACTACGTTTTTTCGTGTATTGATTCTACGCTGAGAATTTTTCATTTCAGATGCAAAGTTACTGCTGTAGCAATGCAATAAATGAACAATTGCATGGATAAGTAAGTGCTATAACAAATGGATTAATTTTTGACATTGCAATAAGCTATTCTGCATATTAATATCATATTAAGAAAATTATTAACTTCACTTATTTCACTACGCCAATATCAATCTACTGCGACGACAATACTAACGATGTGCCATATTTTGTCACACCAACGTAAGGTCATCTCACTTTTCACATTATTATAGAATAAAATAAATTATCGGATATGTTTTGAGTAATGATGAATGGTTTTTTCAAGATTTTTAATGAAGATTCACTGGCATTTTAGCTGACATTTTACTTGAAGAAAATATTGTTTTTTCACTTTTTACATGTTGATAAAATGTCAAATGCGTAATCAAAGTAGTAATTATTCAAAAAAATGTGCACAACAACGAATTAATAGTAAAATAACACTAAAACTTGCCCTGTTTGCTTTATAATTTCAGTACGCTTCGCTATTTTGTATATTTACGTAGCGTTCATTTTTGCGAAAATTATATAGTTGCTTATCATCAATTCGAAATTTTGTAGTAAAAATTCTTTTTTTTAAAGTATATGAATAAGAACTTGTAGCACTCGTGTTACCACCTATTGAATTTAAAATGAAAATCTTTCGAGCAAAAGAATTTTTTATCAAATATTTATTGCTTGCAGAAAGTAACAACAAAAAATTGACTGAATAAAAATGATCACAAAATTGCCACTTTAATTATCTGTTATAATTAATTAATTGCTATTATTACTCTTTACTGCAAGAAAATATTTCCTCCAGCAGTCAAAGTGTTGTTTAAGTATAAAGTGTTTTAAGCAAAGTACTGTTCATTAATTTTCAGTACTAATTCAACGATATTGCTGCCTTCAGGTTTCTGCATGCAAGAATTATAAATAGTATTTCCGTCAACTACTGAACCAATAATTCAGTTATATACTTTTTTGCTGAATTTTTGTATAATTTCAAGTGAGAATTAAAAACATTGCTTTAGTAAGATATATCGTGAACTCTGATTGCTTTCAATTGACCTCTTCAAAATCGAAAAAAAATTGAATTGCTGTTAGTAAAAAGTAATTTTTTAGGTCAGATTCTTTTCTCATTCTAGTATTTGTAACGTGTAAAGTAGTTCAGAGTATATTTATCTTTAAAATATCTCAAGTACTATCGTTTTCGCCCTTACTTGACCCTTGAACCAAAAATTTTTGACAAGAAATGTTTTTTGATGAATATTTATTGTCTTGTTCCAAAATTCTATTATCTATTTCAGACAAAAGAGGCAAAAGTAATTTTCAATTTATTGAATGCAGCACAAGTACTTTGAATACACCTATTTTTGACTTTTCATTGGTTTCTGTGTACAATTTTTATTTCAAAAAACGCAAATTTTTATTTTTCTATCAAAAAAAAGGACTGAAAATAACGAAGAAGAATTGGTGAAGTGATAAATTAGCAAAATATGCTTAACATTTTACTATGAAGTAGAATTCAAATATTTTGCTAAGTTTATTAATTAAAAAAATAATATGCAATGAACAAATTCACAAACCCAAAGGTCAAGTTCAACTTGTTAACAAAATAACCTGACGAGACTCATTAATTTTTCAAACTTTTTTCTTCAGATGAAAATTTAAACTTGTTATTTATCATTGTTTTTGCATTTAAAAATTTTAGAAGACATACAATGCTTTACAAATTGTAAACACACATCTCAAAGTTTATTAGTCATGTTTTTAAAGCAGTATAAATAAATAAATAAATAAATAAATAAATACTTGCTTGGTATTAAACCAACGAACATATGCTTGAAAAATTTTAAATTTGTTGCGATTGTTCAAAATTTTATTAAGTTGAAAGTTTCGTTGCAAAAGCAATTTTTAATATTGTGATAATAATTGAATTTTACTTCTAAATTAATCTCATTAAATGTCATCACTGTCATACAATAAGATAACTTTTAATGAAATTCTTAAATTTTTATTGCAGTTGAATTTCTGTTGTTGTTTTCATTTAAAACTTTTAGTTAATACGAAGTTTTACTCAATCTTTCACTTCCGTTATTTCATTTCAAGTTAATTTTATTTTTGCCTTTTAAAATTTTTAGAATTTTCCAAAAAATTTAATAATTTAATTATCGATAAAGTGCTATTCAGAAATATGTGAAACATTTGATCTGTTGGATATTGATGGAGATGGCTTACTAAGCCGAGATGAAATGGCAGCTCTCCTGAAGATTATTAAAGTAGAACCAACGAGACTTGAGCTTGATATTATCTTTCAAGAAATGGACTCTAACAGTATGATACTGCAAATTACTTTGTCTTACTAATTTTTGATTTGATTTGAGAATTTTTTTAATCAAAAATTAATGTTATATTCTTTTTAAATTGTGCTTGGTGAAAAATGCCAACAACGAGTTTCTCACGTGTGTTAAATTTTGCTTCTTTTATATTTTGGAAAAGTAATCTCATAATATTTTCAATTTCAAATCTTTATGAAAATTTCAATTATTATAAATTTATTTTTGCCGCTAAATTGTGACTTTCACTCACATTTAATCCTAATTTAACAATACTTTTTAATTTTTAACCCAAAATTCAACTGAAATTAAATTTTTACACTTTTACATGTGACATAAATGTATAATTTGGCACAAAATATAATACCTCAATCTAAGATTCAGAAACAGGTGCAATAAACAAAGAAGATTTCGTCCGGTATATGAGTACACCACCGACGCATCGGACAACTATTTCAGAACTTGAACGATATTTCCGAATATACGATGGTGATGGTGATGGTGCCATAGAAATCGGTAATGCACATAATTTTCTGTTAAACTTAAATTGCGATATTGAAAATGCCATTCTGCTAATGCGATTTATTTTAAATATCGCAGTAAAATTAATCATTCAACTGCGTTTTACTTTCATACTTCAAATATTTTTAATTTCTTGTCGTATTCAGTTAATTATTTCTAGCTGAAATATCAATTTCTCAAGTTATTACCACTTCTATAATTAAAATAATATGATGACAAGCTTTCAGCAGTATTCATTTCCTTTTCATACTTTTTATTTGTATGAAAAGAAATTAGATGCTGCTCAAAGTATTATGAATAAGCACTATAGTGAATAAAATTACACTACAATTTTAACATTAAACTTAATATCATAACTTGAACTAATAATACGTAATATTTTTGCGTGTCTTGCGTGAACTTTCACTTTTCAATAAATAAATTACAAGGCAATGTGAAGAATAGTTACTCCATTTGAAATAGCAGTAGAAATGGTAATGGATTGGACCGCTAATTTCCCTTGAGAAAATGAATATGCTTGCTTGGGAAAAGAACTAATACCGTTTATTTTCATTTTGTTTATTTTATTTTTCAAATTTTACTAAATTACATAGCATTTTGGGGAAACAACAATTGAATACTGCCAAAACTGCAGTGAAAGTATAAAAAAAGCTCTGCTTTTTGATTAAGAAGCGTAATCTTTTCGCAATAACAAAATAGTTAGCAATTTTGAATTCTTTCCTTACTTTCTCCAAACTTGAACGAAAGCTACTCTTAAAATGGGCAAAAAAATCAAATTATAAGAATAAGACTACAAAGTTGGAAAAATTGTTTTACTTTACTAGAATGTGAAAAAATACAGTTCCATTTCAGGCTTAGCTTACAGTACTAATGAAATTGAATTACAGATCCGGAGATTATTATATAATTTTTGTATCGAATCATGTTAGCTATTTAAAAAGTTGAGAAAATTGTCTTTAAAATATTCTTCAGCGTTTTCAGATGAAGCAGTGGGAATTTTAAAAGAAACCATGCAAGTAACTGATCGTGAAATGATTGAGAAAATTTTCCAGCTAACTGATAGCAATCAAGATGGACTTATTTCATTTGATGAATTCATGAATATGATCAAAGAATCATCAGCATAATAATGACAAAAAGAGTATTAATGGCAAAAATTATGCCTGATGATGCTCATAACTACACCAGTTATACTTAATTTGATGCAAATAAAATACCATAAATCACGCTTTTGTTTCATTTTTTAGAATTTGCAATATTCTGAGATTCATTGTATATGAATGAGTAAAATTAGAGGATAAATAAAGACTGCTTGAACAAGTAAGACTTTGCATAAAATCGGCATAAAATTTACATATTTATGTGACAGCGATGAATCAGTCTATCAATATTATGTGAATAGCATTTGCAAAACCCAAATGAAACTCAAAAAAGAGCTAATTAATTTCTTAAAATATTCTTGTGCTTTATTCAATGATTTTGAGCTGAATAGGTTGTCAGTTTGGCATAAAAGTACTAAAAACAATTTCTAAAGCTATTTTCATAGTGATTCATGAATGTTTCAATTTTATGTCTGAATCTTAAAAATTTCTTTTTTGAACTAAACGAAATATTTAAAAAAGCATGTCTTTCACTTAAAAAATAAAGTTTAGTATTAACTCATTTCAAAAATGGTTCTATCGCACTTTAAATATATATAAATAAATAAAATGTAGAGGTTAGTTTTAATTTTCGCTCTATTGGTTTTGGCGC